AGCATGAGAGAGGTGAGCCACACCCTGCTTCCTCTGCCTGTCCCTCCCTTTGGGAAGAAGGAGATTACCATCAGTGGCTCTTGGATGATCTTTGATCTTTCTCAGTGGAAGGGGCGCCTATCAACAGCAGAAGATTGAGAGTCAATATGGTGTAGTGGTTTTTATTTATGGAATCTTATTTATTTATTTATTTATTTTTCATATTTATACCCCGCCCTCCCCAGTGGGCTCATATCTAATCTTATAGTTATATTTAATCTTAAAATACTCATATGAAGCAGAGAGTGGATGACCAGGTATAATGCAGTAAAAGCACAGTGAGACCTACTGTAATCATTGCCATAGACTACATTCCTGTTCAGTTATAAAAGTGCCCTCCAGGACTGTTCTATTCAGTTACAGTTCTAATATCGTTTTCTAAAAACCATCTTTAATATTACTGTTTTTGCACATTCTACTGAATGATAGAAGTGTGAGTGCCTTCCTGACCTCCTCAGGCAAGCCATTCCACAAAGTGAGAGACACCACTGAAAATGCACATGAATGGACAGCTACCAGTCATACCCATTTTTTAGGGTGGCACCTTTAAAAGGCACCTTTAGTGCCCACGGAGAGCTAGTGTGGTGTAGTGGTTAGAGTATCAGAGTAGGATTTGGGAGACCCAGGTTCAGATCCCCACTCTGCCATGGAAGCTTGCTGGGTGATTTTGGACCAGGCACACACTAATAGCCTAACCTAAAGAAACCCCCCCCCCCCAGCCCATGGGACCTTGCAGTGAGTATACAACTCAGAGCTTACAAGCTGCTGTCCTTTATATTGTTTATCTCTCTGGTACCTGGCATTAAATTTTATGGCACACATGACCCAGCCCAAAAAAGATACATTTATGTCAGATCTGGCCCTCATAAGAAATGAGTTTGACACCCCTGCCCTACAGGGTCACCATAGATCAGCTGTGACTTAATGGCAAAAAAAAGTATATATGTATCTGACAACATATGCAATTTGGGCTTCTGATGAAATGGGCTTTATGTATTTAGGGGGTTGGTTTTTTTTGGTATACTATGCTTTTCAGCCAGAATGACTCCCAAAGCAGTTTTATAATTTAAATCCATAACAATGTGCAGTACAAATAATGACATCTTACGGAATTCTGACTGATGGAATTAACAGACTTGTTTTTGAAGGAAGGAGAATCTTGGGAGCGATGGCACTCTTCAGTGGTTGATAGCTTGAAAATGGGGACCAAATGGTTTAGAATGACGCCTTTGTCCTCATTTCAAATCCAAAGTGTTCAATTCTAGTTCTCTGCTCTGAAAATTAGTCTGTGAAAGCTTATACCATAATAAATCTGTTAGTCTTTAACAAGACTGTTGCTGAGGAGTACCTAGATAGGTATGAGAATATCATACAAGTGGGCTAACCCTTGTACTCTGCGAAGAACAGATATGAACATGAATGTTTTACTGGGCCAGGCTCTTATTGGCTGCTTTTTTACCGATACTTCATACTGAGCTGTATTTTCAGCCTTGGCTAAAAGAGGAGAGGAATTTTTCCCTCAGGAGAAGGTCTGTAAGGGGCCTGGAACTGTGATGTATTCAGGGGGTGGGGATATATTTGTGGAGAGAGAATTGCCCCAAAATAGCTCCATCTACTTACTCAAGAGTGTCATGGATATGGCCAAAAATACAGGGAAACAGTTGCTGGACTTGACCAAAAAAGAATAATGGAATGTGCCTCTGTGCACAGAAACGTAGCTCTCCTGGCCTTTCGGTGAAGCATGCCAAAAAGGGATTTTAGAGACCCACAACAGAATAGCCTTGGAGAGGGATGAGAAGGAAGGAAGTAGTAGTGCCATTATATAGCCTAGGGTAGAAACCATCTAAGTAATTATCAATAGATATAATTTGTTGAGGCCCAGGTGCGGGAGGATCTAAGAATGCCAGAAATGTCCAGCTTCTCACAAGTATACATACAGTTCAAAGAAGGGAGTGTTGGTTGAGAACCAAAAGTTATTCATATGTATGAGAAACTTGTAATCACTGTTTTAAAATAGATTTTTTTAAAAAAAGATAATAACAAGAATGAACTAAAAGTTTTAATATATTTTAAAAGACATTTTAAGTATAGCTAAACCTGTATGGGATTTGAAGCTACAAATAGGAAAGTTGAAATTTTAAAAATAAATAAATTGACATAACACATAAAGAAAATATTACAAACATAAAACACAAAATATATTATATCAAACGTTTCAAAACACACACACATATATCAGTTACAATGGTGTTTCTAATGTAAGTTAATAAGCTTAAGATGCGATATAAAAGTACAGGGGACTATAAGTGCCATGTTTGTGATCTGAAATGTTAAGCCTTTTAATATGAAGAGATGCACAAATCTTGAGGGATTTTACTCTAGATCAATTCAGAGAAGAAAAGGAGATAATTAAAAGAAAGTGAAAGTAAGGAAAAAAATAGAAATGTTAAAAGAATAGTAGTTGATGGCATAATTGCTCAAGTTGAATTTATTGAGAGCTTCTTCTCAGACGTGGCTCCTTGCCTGTGACCTGCTTCTTTTGGGGGTTAAAAACCTTTATGGATGCATGTAATTGGTCTCCTTCAATTATCTGTGTGACAACAATGGATGGTATAATGTTTTGTTGATTTAGGCAATGTTAAGAAATTAATAGTTTTGGTTTAATAAAAGATTAAGTGGAAGCAGAAATTCTCTATATACTATTTACTTGTGTACTATGCCCTGAACAAACCTAAAGTGTTACTGACTAGGAATTAAATGATCTGATATAGGAAAGCTAACTAGATATCTGGGGCTTTTAATGTGCATACCTGTATATGGATCAGGCCTGACCAGAGTCATCCAGAACAGGAGCAGTGCACTTGACTTGGAAATGCCAGGAGTCTTTTGTCTGTTTTGAAACCAGAGCATTTTACTGATAATCTTTGGGGAAGGGGGTGGGATCTTGCAGCAGACAACTCGTGTCCTTGCTGTGAAGACTGAATGTCTTTGAAGAGGTTCACTGTGCTGTTGAGGAGGTGGAGTTACTTTTCAGTAGTCACCACCTACATGACCTCAGTAGGAGAGCTTTAACATTTGCTGCATCAAGTCCATCTCGTTGGTTCTAAACTGCCCTTGAAACATCTTTTTTGCGGGATTTCTGCTGCTTCTTTTTCCGTCAGAAATATGGGAATGTTTTGCTTAAAAGCAAATGTTTTTGCTATCTGACAAAGTAAAAAATTGAAAAGATTCCCCGATCGAGCACATCTCCTGGCTATAGTAAGAGTAGGGAGTTCTACGTTAGGTTTGAACAGCAAATGGGTAAAATTAAAAGGCATGTGGAAATAAACCTTGCTCTAGTTAATATTCCCTTGGCAAACTAACATATGATCAGTGGTTCCTATTCTATCCACTAATATTAAATTTGTGTCCCAGCTACTTTGCTAGTAGGTTTTTAGAAGTTCAGTGAGCACTGCAAATCGCCTGAAGAGTGGAAAATTCCCTTGTCACATAGATGCCCTTATCAGCAACAACCAGATGGAGCTCAGAGCAGGAACATTATCAGTGTTAAATTGCTTTTTTTCCTGGAGTAGGGAGGATTACAGTGTTCTTTCAAAAATTGGTGACACAAGCTGCAAACTTAATATTTTGAAATGTTAGTATTTTAGTTATGTGTGAATATATTTTGGCAAACATTGCATATGGAAAAAACCTCATCTTCTGGTTGATGCAGCTGGAGTCCTTACGTCATGTTTCACTCAGAGTGAACTATTTCTGATTTCTCTGCATTTTTTCTTGTCATCTGAGCTCTAAGGCCACAATCCAGGATGATGCACAATGAAGACAGCACACCTAGGGGCATGTTCAGTGGAGCATCTTAGAGCTTTGCACAGTCTTTCCCTCTCATTGTTGGTTGCAAATGACAAATCAGTGTGTAATTGCATTGGTTTGGATTTTAGCCACTGATAATTCTGGGGCATAGTTGGGTACCTTGTGGGCTACTGCATTGTTCCTGGAACTGTGGGTAGTTTGAAATGAAGTGCTGTGGAGATTACCACATCAAATAAATGTGTGCTGCATGATATATTTCTCCTTATGATATATTTCTCCTTACGTCAAATAAATGTGCTGCATGATATATTTCACCATGCATGCACAAGAGTCATATGGGTTTGATAGCTCTCCTTGGAAAGTAGTGCCTTGAAGTGGCCCCTGTTGGTGTTTTTGATGATTTGTTCGTCTTTTCTTTTGGTTTTTCTTCTCGCTCACTCTTATATTTTTTAGCTAGACTCCAGTCCAGTGACATCTTAGAGACCAATGAGATTTTTGGGGTATAAGCTTTTGAGAGTCAAAGTTCCCTTTGTCAGGTATTGGACAAAGGGAACTTTGACTGTGGTCTCTAAGATGTTACTGAATGCAAGTCTAGCTGTTCTACTGTAGACCAACATGGCTACCCTCGGAAGAACTATCTTCTCTTTCAGCAGCACAGCCTGTCTCAGGGGATCAGTCTGTTCCTTGGGATTAAAACATTTTTCAGTCACCTTTCAAAGCAACACACAGTGTTTAAGCCCCACTTAATTTGGCATAGGGTTACTTTTGTGTAGGCATGCATGTAAATTGCATTGCAATGTTTATTTATTTGTTTACTTCATTTACACCCTTCCTTTCTCCTCAGTGGGGACCCAAAACAGTTCACATCATTCTCCTCTGCTTTGTTTTATCTTAACATTTTATCTTGTGAGGTTACCCCAAGAAGGGGTTTGAACCTGGGCTTTTCAGATCGTAGTCCAATGCACTGTAACCACTACACCACACTGGCTAAGAATCACTTGCATTCATAAACAGTACCTATGGTGTTGTTTGAAAAAGAGATGTGTTAAAGATCCAACATAGCCAACTAAGGCTGATGTAAGCTTACAGGGTCAGTTTATTTCTCTTTACAGTAATTTTAAGTATAAAATTTTCCTTTTTTTAAAAAACAGGACAAATTTGGAACTCGAACTGGTACATCGAGGAGGCAGTCTCTGTCAAGGAGGTGCAAGTACAGCTGGAAAGAGATCATGTTTACGTATGTATATTTTCAGTGTGGTTTCAATCCAATACAGCTTCCTAAAAAGTCAAATTTAAAATATTTTGAGGAACTCTTGTTTTGGTTTTTTCCTCTCACCACAAATTTGTCTAATCTCCATTTAAAGCTCCATGTGATAGTTGTCATCAGTATGTCTGCTGGCAGAAACTTCCGCAGTTTAATTATTCATTGAGTGAAGTAGCACTTCTTTTTTTCCATCCTGAATCTATTTCTTATCAACCTTACTGGGTGTCCTGAATTCTAGCAGTCTTGGAGAGGGAGAAAAAGTTCTCTATATCCACTTTTTCTATCCCGTGCCTTTTATATTCTAATAGCTACTCATGGCCCCCATCTATGGATAGCTAAATCCATGGATTGGGGGCATATAGAGGCTAAACAGATTTTTCTTCAAACTTGGGGCTCTCCCCAAGTTTGCAGAAAAATCTGAAACCCCCCCACACACACTCTTACCAGATGAGCTGCTCTGGCCCAGTGGCAGATCCCTGCAGCCGCTCTGGATCTGCCCTCGAAGTCAGAGTAGGAGGATGCTGCCAGCTGGTGTAGCAGTGGAGGGGGGTGCCAGCAACAGCACTGGGCCCATCCACAGAGGACGCTGGCAGCCAGACTGACCTTGGCAGCAGTCATGGAAGACGCCAGCAGCTGCATTGGGCTTGGCTGCAGTGGCAGAAGATGTCAGCAGCCATGTCAGGCTCAGCAGCAGCAGAGGGCACCAGCAGCTGTGCCAGGCCTGGCAGCGGCTGTGAAAGACCCCAGGCTTGGTGTGTGTGTGTGGGGGGGTATGGAATTTTCTGCCAACTGTCATCTTTTTTTAAACCAAGAAGCCCCAGAGCCTTTCTTTGAGCTAACCATCTTGGTTGTGCTCTTTTGTGAAATTTTTAAGGTAAGGCAACTAGAACCATACGCAGTATTGAAAATGTGGTACTACAGTAGATTTATACAAGGGCATTCTAATTTGGGGGCCGCGGTGGCTCAGAGGTTAAGATGCTGAGCTGTAGACCAGAAGGGCTGTAGTTCGGCAGTTCGAGACCCTAGTGCCATGTGATGGAGTGAGCTCCCGTCTCTGGACCCAGCTCCTAGGAGTTCAAAAGCAAGAAATTGCAAGTAGATAAATAGGTACCGCTTCAGTGGGAAGGTAAGAGCATTCCATGCACCTCAACGTTAAGTCATGCTGGCCACATGACCACAGAGAAGTCTTTGGACAGCCCTGGCTTTTCGGCTTGGAAGTGGAGATGCCACCTAGAGTCGGATTCAACTGGCTTTCGAGCAAGGGAAACATTTAGCTTTACCTTCTTATTTGGGCCATTTTTATTTTAAGTCCTGGTGTCCATGATGGGGGAAAAACCTGCGAGGATACTGAAACCGTAAAAAAAACCCAAAATACATAATTAAATTTGGCTTTGAAATTTTAAAGAAATCCATTGTAAGATAGTTTGAGTCCAGTGACATTTTAAAAACCAACAGATTTTTTTCTGGGTGTATGCTTTTGTGAGTCAGAGCTCACTTTTTCAGATACAAAGACTGTACGGTAATGTAGTTTATATTTTTGATGTATGTAAAGGGTGACGCTGTCTATAGAAAACTGGCTAAATATCTCAGCATGTTGTGAGAATTTACAGTCCCATGCTAAGCAACGTTAAACCCTTCTAAGCCCATTTTCAGTAAACTTAGAAGGATATAACTTCATAAAATGGAGCTGATAATCCAGAGTGATTTCCACAAATATAAAAATAGCCAGAGGATTTGGCAGTGAAAGGAGTTGAATGTATCTTCATGGTACGTTGGTTTCTTATAGGGGGAAAAAAGTGAATTATAAGTTTTTAAATGAAAAAAATAGTTCAGTTCATGCATATATAAGTTGGTCTTACAAAGATCACCAAATTATGTCATTAAGTTCATGTTGTTTGCACACATTATACTGATAATTTATGAAATATCAAAGTAGATATTTATGTGATTTATAACGTGCCTTTCTCACTGAGAGTCAAGGCGGATTATGTAATGTAAGTCAATAAAATCAATAGGATGAGGAGACATCTAATAAACAATGTAAGGCATTGTGAGAGCAGAAAAGTGGAATACAAATTTCATTAATAAAAGGACGAGAATTGCAGATATCCGAAATGAGGCATAAGTATTAAACATGACGTGTTAAACAATGCAAGAAATGGTATTGCATAAATACAGATATAATGTAGTGAAAATAAGATAAAAACATAAAGCAATAGACAATAGATATAATGTAGACATTTTATTTATTTGGTTGATTTGATTTGATTTATATCCTGCCCTCCCCCACTAGCGGGCTCAGGGTGGGTCACACAACAGGTCATTTCCCAGTTATGTGTACAGATTTTTCAGTCAATGATCAGCACAAATCACAAAATTACAAGTTACAGACAAAAGCAAAAAGAATCAACCGTAATACCCAATATCAAATTATAAAATTAGCTAAAATTTAAATTCACTACACATGATTTCCTAGTGGATTTTACAGGCTGCCACAGAAAATTTTGCACAACAGATTGTAGTCCGAGGGTGTCACCCATAAGGAACATCTTTAAAATATCATAGTTGGAACAGCCAGGAAACCTTCTAAGCAATGGAAAAACAATTTTTAGGGAAATTTCCTGATAGAAATAACAATAGAGCAGAACTCATTTGATTGTTTCCACCTCACCGGCACCACAAGGGCAGATTCTCTCCTGCATGGGGAATCTTTTTGAATCTCCCCTCTAACACCAAAGAGGGGAGAATGCGCCATCTTGCACTCTGTTGTCCCAGAATCTCCAACAAGGAGAGATAGGGGGCCGGAATGACGATATATCTAAGGTTTTCTGGGATCATAAAATTTGGGACACCAGTAATATCACAGTAAAAACAATATTAAAAAATACAATTTAAATCCAGTTCTGTGAAATTCCCCTCAGTGGGAATGTCTTCCTGAATGAATCTTGTTATAATGCAGCCCCATTTCCTTATCCTGTTCATAAGAACCCTGTCATGTAGTTTAAGCTAGGTGACTAGGCCCCTTTCTCGTGGCCTGGTAGGGATGGGAACCCAGGTCTCTATGATCTGAATCTAATACTTGATGCAATAGTGGCTGATTGAGCAGGAAAATCCAACTGGTCTCCATGGTCTAAATTCAATACTTTTGTTGCCATGGTGGCTGATTGAGCAGGGAAATCCTTCCAACTGGGGAGAGCAGCCCTGAAAGCCCAAACATTTTCCAGTCCTCTTTAAGCACACAGCTCGCCATCTCTCTTATCACAAGGCCACTTCTTACGTTGGCCGCAGCCCAGCAGAGAGTTACACGCACTTTAATTTATGTCACATTGTGGACTTGATGCACGGGGAGCTAAGTGTAAGTTTATCACTGCCTTTACAAGCAGCAAAGAACCGCTGATAATTAGGATTGCCACTTTTCATCCTGGCAGATTACGTGGTCTATGTGCAACACAGTCAAAACATTGAATATCAGGAGTCTCACTGCTATCACAGTGTAGTTGCAGGCAGTGTTCCCTCTAAGCTGAGTTAGTGTGAGCTAGCTCACAGTTTTTTAGCCTCCGGCTCACACATCTTTGTCTTAGCTCAGGAAGGATGGCTCCAGAGCAAACTAATCTATGCAGTAGCCAAATTGCTCACTCACAACTTTAATGCCAGTAGCTCACAAAGTAGAATCTTTGCTCACAAGACTCAGCCAAGTATTCTAAACGTGACTGCGCCAACATTGAGATATTGACTATTTTGTTTTCTGTTCTTTTCCCAATTGGCTGCAGTATGTAATTAGCCTTTTCCCTTGCTCCTGCACTCCCTGCTCCTGCCTTTAACAATGGAGGCCCAGGTAGCAGCCGCTGCCAAGTCGGCCTTTTACCATCTTCGGCTGGCGCGACAGTTGGCCCCCTTCCTTGACCGCGATGACCTGGCCACAGTGATCCATGCGACGGTCACCTCGAGGTTGGACTACTTTAACGCTCTCTACATGGGGCTGCCTTTGTCGCAAGTCCGGAAGCTGCAGCTAGTGCAGAATGCGACGGCCAGGCTGCTGATGGGTCTCACTAGGCCGGGACCATATCAGGCCTGTCCTGAAAGTGCTGCACTGGCTGCCAATAGCATACCGGATTCGTTTCAAAGTGCTGGTTCTTACCTTTAAAGCCCTATATCGCCAGGGTCCGGCATACCTGAGGGTCTTTCCCCATATGTTCCCCCAAGGGCACTATGGTCGCGGACTCAACATCAATTGGTAACCCCAAGTCCTAAAGATATTAAATTTGCTGTCACCAGGGCCAGGGCATTTTCGGTGGTGGCTCCTACCTGGTGGAACGAGCTCCCGGAGGAGATCTGGGCCCTGCGGGACTTGGTGCAGTTCTGCAGGGCCTGTAAGACGGAGCTCTTCCGCCAGGCTTTTGCGTAGGAGCCGCCACCATCACTATACCATCACCGTACCACCACCACTAAATGGAGTGGGTGTCATCGGGGAACGAGACAGCTCTGGGAGTAAGGATAGATCGTTGTACCATCTGGAGTCTATCGTGTCGCTCTGGGACTACTTTGTTGTTTGTGACCCCATCTGTTATTGTGACATCTAGAGCACTTGTATTTTATAGAAATGATCGTTTTATTGTGTGTCTTATTCTGTTTTTACCTGTTGAATTTTGGCCTATGTGCCCTTCTGTTAGCCGCCCTGAGCCCATCTGGGGAGGGCGGGGTATACATTTACCAATAAATAAATAAAATAAAAATGAGACATCTAATAAGCAGTGTGATTTTGGACTAGGTTTACAAAATTAGAAAACACAAGCAGAAAAAAGATGTACCATAAACAATGCAGAAAATAGATTGCAAAGGCAGAAGACTATGCAGTAGTAGTAGAAGAAGAAGAAGAAGAAGAGATTTATACCCCGCCCTTCACTACCCAAAGGTGTCTCAGAGCAGCTTACAAACTCCTTTCCCTTCCCCTCCCCACAACAGACACCCTGTGA